CAGACAGACAGACAGACAGACAGACAGACAGACAGACAGACAGACAGACAGACAGACAGACAGACAGACAGACAGACAGACAGACAGACAGACAGACAGATTATTTTGGTTTGAAATATTGAAAGAGTTAACGCGATTCATGTCATTTTCGAATTTCGACGCTTCGCTAAGCCTAAGTTGAAATCTGTGAATAATTTATGTAGCTACCGACAGTGCTGCGAGACATATACTGATAAAACGTAAAAGCATCTTGTGCCTCAATCGTTTAGTAAAAACAAGGCAAGATTTCCATTCGCCGACATGTTGAATAACTAGCCTTTACGTTTTTCGCTGCCATGAAGTTTTTGCTCTTTTTACACAAATTATTCGAGCGAGTCATTACGCGTAACGAGCGAGAGGTCGCGATAGCGCCCCTCGCAAGGTTTCGCGCCGCGTTCCTCCCTCGAATATTCTCGAAACTCGCTCGAAAAAATTGTATGGTTTCCGTTGGACGGTACTGTAGATCTAACTAATCACACAGTTTGATTTCCTTGCCGATCTTTGCACATCAAGTAGTGGTCTTAGTTGCACAACCAGAGACTTGGTCATCAAGAACAGAACACATTAAAGGGTGATGATCAAGGACAATGCAATGCACTCTTTTGTTTACTTTTCTCAATAGTTGCCACCATTTTCGATGCCACAAAAATGGCTCCCTCTGGCCCACAACGTAACAGAAACGTAATTGCATTGTGGTTGGTCATGATCGACCCTTTAACTCCTGGCTTAACCTTTCTGCCAATCTCTTCAGACATGACAAGTGTAAAATAGAAATACTTGAACTAATCTGCTCATGGTTATCCTCCAGAATTCAAATAAGCCTGCATTTGCCAGTGGTGATATTGTGTAATATTTGAACCAGACACAAATCTTCTTCTCATCTTTGAATGTACATTCAGTATGTATATATAGGCCAATTTTCATGGGATTCGGTAACCTTTGACATTTGCAGCAGCTATCTAGAATGCAAACTTGGGTTGAGCCCTAACTCATATTAAATGCTGGCATGAAAATGCCTGTATGTACTTACATGTGATTCATTTGATATTTTAGGTGAAAAGTAGAAATGTTATGGCTGCTCGAGACAAGTTATTTTCTGGTGAAAAAGTAAATTTCACCGAGGTATTCTATCTATGTTCTTCATACCACCATAGTACCACGACATGTGTTATATCTGGCCCACTAAATACTGCTTAAGATTGCTTATAAGGCCGATTTAAACTATACTATGCTTTTTCCTAAAACTGCCACTTGCTTACAATTTGAGTTGTCCTATGTAAATCAAGTACACAACTCACCTACGACAACGTGGGTGAGTGTACAACTCAAGTTGTAAGCAGGTTCCATGCGACAGTTTTATGCGAAAGTTGTGTAGTGTAAAGGCCCGGTCACACTACACAACGATAACGATACGATAACTTGTAAACACGCGATGTTTGGCAAAAAAATTACGTTCGTGTCCACACCACAACGAAAATGATGAAATTTTCGTTTTTATTAGTGCAGAGTTTCTTTGAAACTGTGCACTATTGTGATGAGTGAGAAAATTCACATCAGTCGGTCGGTCGGTCGGTCGGTCGGTCGGTCGGTCAGAAAGTTAACTTTCCGGGGGGGTGTGTGTATTATGTGTATACGATTTATATTTGTAGTGATTTATTGTGCTTTGAAAGTTATTTAGGCAATTTCAGTTGTTTTATTTAAATATTATTTTGTTCTTTGGCCAAGTTCACAAAATTTCGAGTTGTCGTTATTGTAAATTTTTGTAAATTTTATAACATTTGCTTCTCATGTTGTGTGAAGGATCTTTCCCCCGGAAAACCCATTTTTTTCTTTAGCAACGCAACTGCGCATGTGCTATCAAGCCGTAGATCACGATGGCGTGACGATGCTAGGAAGGAGCGCTGGAGCGACACAGTGTCGTTTTCAAATTATAAACATTTTAGACGTGAATATTGAGTAAATCTTTGAGAATCTACGCAATATATAAATCGATGTTATGCATTACGGGCATTCAATTGACCATTTGCGTAATAGACTAAATTTTGATCTCAACAAAAATTTCATTACAGCTTGAAAGAGCATCACAAAGTTAGTAATATTCCAAAGTTTCGTTGCAAAATGTTGTAAAATGCGGAAAATATAGCCTTGCGAAATTTGCAATTTTCAGTCATTTTAGATTACAAACCGGAAATTGACAGCCTCGAAGGGTTTGAGGCTGTCAATTTCCCGTTTGTAATCTAAAATGACTGAAAATTGCAAATTTTGCAAGGCTATATTTTCCGCATTTTACAACATTTTGCAACGAAACTTCGGAATATTACTAATTTTGTGATGCTCCTTCAAGCTCTTTCAAAATTTTTGTCTAGACTTGTTTGGTTCAAAATTTAGTCTATTACGCAAATGGTCAATTAAGTACGGATATTATTTTGACGGTATATTCAATATACAAAGCTAGGAAGCAGCGAGACAATTGTTGTTTCGAAATGTATGAACATTTCCGACGTGTATTATATTGAGAAAATCTTTGAGATTCTACGCAATATATAAATTGATGTTTTGCATTACGGGCATTCAATTAAGTGCCGATATTGGTTTGACGGTATATTCATTGTACAGAGCTAGAAAGCAGCAAGACAGTGTTGTTTTCAAATTAATAATATACATAAAGATATTACTCGACTGTGATTGGTTGATTTCAGTGCAGTTAATCCCAAACAGCAGTGCAATTTTCTGTAATCATGGTGCAATTTTCTGTAATCACAGTGCAAAAGAATATAAAAGTGATAAAGAAATAGATGATCTTGCAATTAATGAAACACGATTAATGATAATACTGTATTATTTCAAAGGGAGTGTCAACTGTTTCCATATCTGTTTCACTATCTTATTTATGGCATCAGAAAATTTAAGGTCTGCAAAGAAAATGCAAAAATAATCGAATACCGTGACTACAAACATTTCAACGAACAAATATTCTTGCGCGACCTGCAAAATTACTTATCCGATTTTGACCGGGACCAACACGATCCAAATATATCTTGGCAGATTTGGAAGAATAAATTCTTCAGAATCTGGAACAACCATGCCCCAGTAAAAAGACGGAAAGTCGGCACTAAGCGGCTACCTTGGCTAACAACAGACCTAATTCACAATAAACGACATATTAATTTCCTACATAGGAAAGCTAGAACAACCAACACAACTGATGCCTGGTCTGTCTACAGAAAGGCAAAGAACCAATACAATAGGCAAATAAAAGATACAAAGTGCTCCTATTATCGAGGCAAACTACATAGCAATTCAGGAAATTTAAAACAAACATGGAAAACACTCAACGAATTGATGAATAGAAAGTCAACTAATAATAAAATCCCAGAAATGAAAGAAGAGAATGGTGAAGTAATTGACGAAACGCTGATCCCTAATGCCTTTAATAAATACTTTGTTGAACAAGGGGGAAAACTTGCGAATAAAATTCCTCGATCGAGTATTTTACCCGATAGTTTTCTCAGTGATGTACACCAACCAGTTAATGGCTCCCTAGCTTTCAAGAAATTTCAGAAAATGATGTTTTGATACTACTCCATGGTTTAGTGCCCAATAAGGCATCGGGAATCGATGGTATCTCCTCTCGTATCTTAAAACTTTCGGCAGCAGTTATTTCACCATCCCTAACATCAATATTCAACCAGTCAATCTTAACAGGCATATTTCCCAGTGATTAGAAAATCGCTAGAATTACTCCGATCTTTAAGTCTGAAGCTAAAGATGAAATGACAAACTACAGACCAATATCCGTTATATCAGTAGTTGCTAAAATTGCGGAAAAGCTGATTGATAACCAAATCTATAATTATTTACATAACTATAATCTGCTTTCAAACTCCCAACACGGATTTAGACCACTCAACTGTTACAGCATTACTGAACATAACCAACGAGTGCTATACAAATATTGACATTGGGAAACTAAATGGGATTGTGTTTCTGGATCTGAAAAAAGCATTCGATACCACAATATACTCTTAGATAAAATAGCAACTTATGGAATAAAGGGAACGGCACATCGCTGGCTGGAGTCGTATCTATCAAATAGGACCCAGTGCTGTTGTGTGAATGGTAAACTATCAAGTCCATCATTTATGAAAACAGGCATACCTCAGGGTTCTGGTTTAGGCCCATTGTTATTTCTAATTTACATCAATGATTTTCCAAAATGTTTAAACGCCGTGGCAAAACCAGACATGTTTGCGGATGACACCCAAATTGCAACATCAAGTGACGATATCAAAGTAATCACTGAAACATTAAATAGAGACTTAATTAAGCCCCGTTTACACTACGCTCAATTTTTGGTACGGCACGGATAAAATTGGTACCCGTACCACTTTTTTGGTTCTTGGACTACCTATTTAGCTAAGCCTCGTTTACACTACGCTCAATTTTTGGTACCATACCACTTTTTAGTTCTTGGACTACCTAAATAGGTAGTCCAAGAACCAAAAAAGTGGTACGGGTACCAATTTTATCCGTGCCGTACCAAAAATTGAGCGTAGTGTAAACGGAGCTTTAAACAATGTTGCAAATTGGCTGTCCGCAAACAAATTAACTCTGAACAATAGTAAAACCGAATATATGATAATTAGTTCCAAGAAAAGGCTTAGTCAAGTGACTGCCGATCCTGCTATCAGTGTAGGTAACTTAGAAATTAAGAGAGTTGAAACGACAAAATCATTGGGCCTAATGATAGACGAGTCTCTATAGACTGGACCGCGCTGGTCGAACACATTTCAAAATGTCACCTCAGGCCTTGCTATTCTCAGACGACTTCGGGATACAGTCGAATTCAATACCTTAATAACAATATACCAATCCATAATTCAACCTTACTTCGATTATTGTGCTCAAGTGTGGGGTTGCTTAGGGAAAACATTAGCAGCTAAAGTTCAAAAATGACAAAACAGAGCGTTTCGAATAATCACTCGTGAGAATTATACGACACGATCGGCTGATATATTAAACAAGCTAGGAGTTCCGAACCTCGAAAAAAGAAGAATGCAACAACTTTCAATTCTCATGTACAAGGTGAAAAACAAATTGGTCCCCGATTACTTGTGTGATATATTCACAAATGTGGGTGATGTACACGACCATAACACAAGACAGTCGGGAGCCGATTTTACATTGCCTAAACCAAAAACAAATAGTATGAAAAATGCATTCTCCTACAGAGGTGCGGAAGTCTGGAACTGCCTTTGCTAATTTTAAGTCTAACTTGAAACATCTACCTAAATAATCTTCTTGTAAATAATATATTTTTTGATGCTTGTGATGTTGCTCTGAGTGTATTTCCACACCGGGCAAGCTTGAAAAATATGCCTGACCACGGTGGGATTCGAACCTACGACCTTTGGAATACTAGCCCAATCGATTCCCACCGTGGTCAGGCATAGTTTTCAAGCTTTCCCGGTGTGGAAATACACTCAGAGTAACATCACAAACATCATATTCACCTGAGTACATTACACCAACACAGAAAAAATCATGATTATTAGATTACATCGATATCGAAGGAACTAGATTCTGTTCCGAAATATCACATACTCGAACCGACCAGACCGCGTAGCTCTGTTGGCAGAGCATTGGGCTATTCCAAAGGTCGTAGGTTCAATTCCCACCGTGGTCAGGCATGTTTTTCAAGCTTGCCCGGTGTGGAAATACACTCAGAGTAACATCACAAGCATCATATTCACCTGAGTACATTACACCAACACAGAAAAAATCACAATATATTTTTTATTTCTGCTTGTGTGAGCACGGCCGGTTGGAAGATCACCTTTTTTCTTTTTATATTGTGTACATAATTAATTTTAGTAGGTGAAATTGTACCGTGTTAAAATATTGTTCATAATAATAACGTGTACGTTTTATTCGATTTGGAAGGACCAGGATTCCGTTCCACGATGAAAGATGCGTCAGTATTAAATGGGATAGTATCGAAATCGTGTGGCCAAATATTTGTGACGCCGATTGGACTAATCATAGACAATCCAGAAGACAGGGACTGGAAACGCCTAACGTTTTGCGCGTGCCATCCGTGATGCGCTTGCGTGACGCTTGCGTATGTGCCATACTGCCATCTTGAACGGAAGGCTAGCTTGTTGCTTCCAAAATCCAAAACGAATAAACGATTAATATCGATGTATTGTCTGCTGTTTTTATACAGCTCTTTATACTGGAAGATTGTTTAAATAATCTACACCGAAAAGGGAGTTAGATATATCACATTGTGTGTAAAGTTTATAAAACGGATCTGCTTAATATCCAGAGACGAGTGCAAAGAATTTTCGAGCTTGTTCGAAAATTTTGATTTCCAATTTGGGGTGGACTTTCAGGCACGATTCAGGTTTGTTTGCGTATTTTAGTTTTCTTTAATTAAGTTTACGTATATTTATTCAGTTATGCTTGACTGCATTTACGTTATAAATTGTTGAAGTTACCTTTTCGATATTTTTTCAGTCTTTTTTGTTCAAAAGTACAGTAAATACTCTGAACTTTCAACAATGCCGACAAGAATGCCAATGGCGACTTTTTTACAGTCAAAAACATTACGCAAGCATTCAAAGGACGTTTATGGCTTTGTTTGACTCAATATAAGTTTAAATACCGGATAAGTGCATCCACAGATCTATTTTTGTTCAAAATATGTAAATTACAAACCCTGAACTTAGCCTCCTCCGCAGGCCTCTCTGTGGGTTTTAGCCTGCGAATGGGTTTTGAAAAAACATTTTCTGGGAGAGAGGCCTGCCATAAATCGAACAAAATAGACGTATCTCAAATATTAGTGGCCGTGTTACGTTACCCCACCCCCTAAGTAGGCTTTTGACCCTAATTATATATTCAGTTTGAAATCTTCGGGCGAGGAGCGAAACTTGCACGTATAAAAAACTTTAAAAATGTTTTATAATGCGTGGAAATATTCAAGTTATACGAAAATTAATTGGTCAATTGCAAGCATTTAATATATCCTGAATTATATATCGCAATGTCCCTCGCGGTATAAAAAACGACGTGCAAATTTTGAATCGTATTAAAACAATGTTACAAGACAAAAAGTATAAATAGTATATTACCACAGTCACAGATATGTCAACAGTTGAATATATATTTGACAATTTTCGCTCGTTCCTTTTCGTGTTATAGTTTCGACTAAATCAGTGCACTTTCCGCTTATTATCATATAAAATGTAGTCGACAATTTGAGTAGCAATATGTATATATCAACGATAAACTTTCACTTAAAACCCTGTCTTGACATGAATCGACGGCAACGTGAATATTTGACTGCTCTGGAAAATCACTCGTCTCTAAATAATCCCATTAAATCGCCGTTTTGGGTGACGATAACGTTATCAGCTCCTTATTCAAAGTTCCCTGTGTATATACAATGTTAAAAAGCAGGATTATTCGTTAATTTTACAGTTTTACTCGTCTTTTAAACCATCGTGTTGAAAACAAAAATTTCTTCACTCCTTGCGCAAGCCCTTCCTACTCCCCCTAAGTTAGAGTTTGTCGAAATTTGGATGCGCGAGCCGGTATGCGCAATGCAAAATTTTAGTGTCGATTTATGGCAGGCATCTCACCAAACTTTTTCTCACCACCCGATTCTTCAGTGAGATGCCTGCGGAGGAGGCTTATACCCTGAACTTTATTTAAACTAAATTTACAGCGTTCGGAGTGAGCATATTAATAAAACTTTGAGAACAACAATGGCGACTTTTTTACAGTCAAAAACATTACGCAAGCATTCAAAGGACGTTTTTGGCTTTCTCTGACTCAAAAAATTACAAACCCTGAACTTTATTTAAACTGTAGTTTATACAGGGTTCGGAGTGAGTGTAAACTTTGACAACGACAATGGCGAGTTTTTTTACAGTCAAAAACATTACGCAAGCATTCAAAGGCTTTCTTTGACTCAATATAAGTTTAGAAACTGGATAAGTGCATCCACAGATCTATTTTTGTTCAAAATATGTAAATTACAAACCCTGAACTTTATTTAAACTCTAGTTACAGGGTTCGGAGTGAGTGTAAACTTTGACAACAACAATGGCGAGTTTTTTACAGTCAAAAACATTAGCTGAATTCATATTAGAAGACGGATTTCCGTCTAAGACGGGAAACTCGTGTCAGACGAGAAACTCTTCTTGATATAAATTTGGTTAACGACGGGTTTTCCCGCTCTCAACTTTTCCGTCTAACTTTCCCGTCTGAACGACGGGAAAGTTAGATGGGAAACTCGTCTTAGACAGGAAACTCGTCTTAAATTCATATCAGACGAATAAATGAAGACGGATTTCGGCTCGTAACGTTCAAAAGAGACTGGGATGGGAGCGTCTCCTACTTTTTCAGGTTTATCCGTCCGATGGTTTTCGTTTCGCACTTATACCAGACGGAAATCCGTCGCACGAGTTTCCCGTCTTAGACTGAAATCCGTCTTCCAATATGAATTCAGCTATTACGCAAGCATTCAAAGGACGTTTTTGGCTTTCTCTGACTCAATATAAGTTTAAAAACCAGATAAGTGCATCCACAGATCTATTTTTGTTCAAAATATGTAAATTACAAACCCTGAACTTTATTTAAACTATATAGTTAAAGGGTTCGAAGTGGGGGCAACAGAGATAGCCATCTTCTAGTTGGCGCAAAAGTAGCAGCGTGAAAAAGGCTTGTTTTTACCAAACTGGCGAATCGCAGAGCTTTTTTGATCCGCTAAAAGCACTAATAGTGCATTTAAGATGATAAATGTATGATGTAGCCGGCAAGTGATAGCTTTATCTTCAAGTTCCAGGGTTCGAAAGATATGTACTCTCGTACAGATATTTTTTTGTGCGCCATTTTGATGTAAAGGTTCTGGCAAAACTTAAAATTTGATTACTACTCACCGTCAAAATAACAAATTAAATCTTCTGAATTGTGTATGGACTAATTAACGGCGATGAAACAATCGTGAGCATGATATTTACATTTGAATGATACTGTATTATTAGTACCAGAATTACAATTAGTTCCACTGAAAACAAGCCACAATTGCACAATATATTGCACAATATAAATACCATTGCACAATATAAATACCATGGACATTCATGAACACGATTTGTAGACAACTGAACTGTGAGAAACACCGTTCCAGTATTAAATCTGTTCTAATTGGCACGCACCGAAGTTTCAATTGTTCTTAATTAATTTTCGAATAAGAAAACTGTTCAACGCACGCGCTAACGAAGTATATTTGATCACTCGATCACTCGAGCACTGAATATATTTGATCAAAGCAACGACTTTAAAAAAAAAACCCAACTTCTTTACAATTCAAACCTCCAGTAATACCAGCAAAGCTGTCTATTGCCTGGGTGCCAACGTAATCCTTTTTTAACTGCACGTCTTTTAGTTAGACGTCTAGTTAGAATATTTTTATAGAGCTGATTTTAAAGTTGTTTCGGGTCCTATTTTTAAAATATTTTTGACTGTATATGAAACAAATCAGTGCAGTTTTCAGTTTGGTGCAAGCATTTTAGATCTCATAGAGGTATTAAGTATATACATATAGGTAATTTGTTAATAACACTTTTGTATGTCGTTTAGAAAAGGGCAGTACTTCACGTGGCTCTTCGTAATCGATCAAATACACCTATTTTTGTTGATGGAAAAAATGTAAGTATAAGAACAAAGAGTTTTCGTATCGTTTTTCATTTCAGGTTCATGCTGTTGACATTTAAAGTGGGTACGAGTTAGTTAGAGCCAGTGAATTGCAGGCCTCATTAACATTTTTTCGTGCCTGCGAGCGAAAGTCAAAATTTGCCTGCAAAAACACATAACATCTTATTTATAAATTTTTTGATCTAAATATTGTTAAAATGTCAGAATTTTAAAATATACCTGCAAGGTGCCTACGAGCGGCGCTCGCGCATTTTATTGATGCATGGCTGGTGAATTGTATAGCTGGAAGGCTGACTACGTAATCTAATCATAAAGAGGGCAAAATTACTCAGTAAACTTCAAACGCCACTTTCTTTCGAGGAACAGTGCCTCTCATAGTTTGAGCATTGGGCAACCTACTTACTAATTGTATATATCAATTCGAAATATCAAATGAGCATCTTACTGCTTTAAACGGCACAAATGAAACTCCTCAATTTGCATATACTAGAAATAGCTCGACTGCAATTGCACTGATTAGAGTTACTCTGTTTTGGTAGCAAGGCTACTCGATGATTTAAATCCTATCTAACGGACAGACCGCAATACGTTTATTGTAACGGAGTTGAGAAACCAGAAAGATCACCTGTGGCGTGCCTCAGGGCTCTCTGTCTTGGGACCTTCGTTATTCAGTATATACTAGGTACAACTCGATCGCGGACAGCTTCGTCCATTCTGAAACTACATTGTACGCTGATGATTCTGAAGCACACTGCTCCCACTACTCCGTACATGGCGCTGAATTAGCAATGAACAATGATCTTCAAAACGTTGAACAGTGGTTGAGGGCGAATAGAATGATTGCGAATATTAAAAAGACCAAAACAATATTAATCGGCTCGCGCCCTGTTCTTTGAAAGGCCGAAGCTGAAAATATACAGATACATCTTTTTAACAACAAAATAGAAGAAGTAACCACGTTCGATTAACTGGGTGTTCGAATGACTGAATCCCTATCATGGAAACTTCATGCTGATCGGTTATGCCAAAGATCTTATCCCAAAATGAAATTACGGAATCGTGTTTCAAGCTATTTACCTACAGGTGTTCTTCTTAGAATTTATAAACAAACAATCCTGCTTATTATCGACTACATGGTTCCATCATATGGCAGGATTGCGGTCTGTTCTCTTTAATTGAGTTGAAAAACTCAAAATAAAGCTATGAGAACAATCTTGAGTGCCAATAGAACAATCTTGAGTGCCAATTGAACAATCTGTACGCAAGAAATGCGAAATTGTCTTGGCCTATTAACTCTACATAGTAGACGACGATTTATAAGGAATATTCTAGTTTTTAAAATTGTCAATAATATGGACATTCCTAAGTATCTTAACAATTATTTGGTCTTAAGAAGCTCGTTAAGAGGAAAATCCCCCCGCGATCAAACCTTCATAGATATACCAAGAGTAAACACTTCACTAGGGCAAACTATGTTTAAAGTTTTAAAGTTTGTCCGTTCACTGCAACCAGGTATATCAATCATGTTTCGCTCGCTACTCTGGTTTAAACAAGTGATTATAAAGCTTCGACTGGGCTTTGTAATCACTTATTTAAACCAGAGTAGCGAGCGAAACATGTATGTTTAAAGTTGCTGCAGCACGTGACTGGAACTTGCTACCGAAATGTATTCGAGATATTAAAGTCCTCGGTAGCTTTAAGAACAATGTTAAAAAACAATTTTTAGAATTAGACAATTCTACACATAGGTGTTGCTTGTATTTTTTGCTCATTATTGTATAATATAGTATATAGTTTGTATATTTATGTAAGTATTCCATAACTGTAAATACTGTTCACCTTGGTAAGACCAGCTTAATTAGCTGAATGGGTCTGACATGTTAATTAAAGATTATTATTAATTGCTAAAATTGTCCACTATACACACTACAAATAGGTTGTTATTTCGCTTTGTTTTTACCTGCTGTATCACAAATTGATATGAACATTCAAGCAGTCTTTTACCTTTCAAATAACGTCTTTCCAAAGGTTTGAATATTCGTTCCCTGTCTTTCACTAGCCAGGACGATTCTTGCCCCTTGTGCGTCTCGAAACAAATGTTTAAATGTCCAAGAGAAGGCAATCACCGAGGGAAACTCCAAAACAAAAAGATAAAATATTTTTTCGAAGATCAAGGGTGTGTGCATGGAATTTGTAGTGGGCTCAAAATGAGCCTTGCTCAGTGGTAATTACCATGAGGATTTGGGACCAGTGGCGTAAGCAAACGTGAAAATCCTCGGCCATGTTTTGGTAACACTTGTTTGACTGGCGAGAGATAGGAGCAGGTCTTCCAGTAATATGGTAAAGGTCCGAAAATTTAGTTTGTGTACTATTTGAAACACCCGTAGGGGTGTTTTATCATATTTAAAATTGAGTGCGCAGCACGAGCATTTTAGATTATGATAAAACACGACTATACAAGTAGTTTGAATAGCTTCAAACACGACTACAATAGATGCCGTCTCATTATAGTATCCTTTATAAAGAATACTAATTAGGATGGACTTATGTAAAGAATACCACTGAAAAAATTACATCATTAAACGCGCTGTAGGACATGTTTATGCATTGTATACATGAATTATTCACTGTTGAGTTTGAATTATTTTAGGTGATGGATGATGTAAATTCTGTGTTGGACCAAATGAGGAAATTTTGTCATGCTGTTCGCAGTGGGGAATGGAAAGGTTACCGTAATATTGTTTACGTTTATAATTTATCATGGGCAGTTTTCGACGTTATGCGCATGCGCGTGCACAAGCTCTGGCTAAAAGATTGTTTTTCATTTTGAAAAGATGTATATTTTGCTGCTTTACAGCAATTTGTTTTAAATTTCGTAAAAAAAGTTTACAAAAGTAGTAGAAAATACATGCATGCAGCAACCCCTCGCCTTTCTTAATTAACAGATGAAGTATAAAAACTCCACATAACAATAAGCAATTATTGGATGAGGCTGAGCATGATATCAAGAATTATTCAGACCGAGGTCAATGTTATCTGCCGAAGCGAAGCTGAGGCGGATAACATAGACCGAGGCCTGAATAATTCTTGATATCATGCGAAAGCCGAATCCAATAATTGTTTTATTATACATTTAAAGACATGAGAAACGTATAAAACGATTCCTGTTCATGAGGCAGGAAAAGTACAATTCAAATATCAAACACCTTGCACAAAATCAAAGGTCAGCTAAATATTCTACTTCTATTTACCCCTTTGTGGCTTTTTTCGTGCTTTCACTATCCTTATCTGCCAATAATTTGGAGAGTTCACTTTCATTCAGCAAAGCAAATGTAGGCCATTGTTTGTTTGTTTTTTTCGCTTATAGGTTCAAGCTTTTGACCGCGCAAGGGTTTGGGCACGAGAGAGTCCAATAATTTTTATTTTGGATGCAAGTTCGATCCAAAAAAACAATTATTGGACGCTGATGACGTCATCGGCGGAAAATACGTAATAAATGCCGAATACTGAAAATTAGCCGGTGTTTTCTGACCAATTAGAAACGAGAATACATATTAAATGTATAATAACATAAGTTATTAAGACCATTGATACGGCGAGTAGAAATATTTATTTTGAATTGTGGTGGTGAGAAAGAGTTAAATTAAATTAATAAAACATGAGCAGCCGATCTTTATCTGGGGCCGGTTGTATAAACCAGTGGGGAATAATTCACGAAATATTGGGGTGTGAAATTCTCAAAAGGTTTTAAGTTATTACGTTGAATTTAATTCAGACGAATTTGATTCATTATTAACTTCGTCAGTTGGTCGACATTAAAATGGTTTTCTTTTAAACGACGACTTTAATTCAGTTGAATTAATTTCATGACTAGTAGTCATAGAAAATCCAGAAATAAAAACCACGAGATCAGAAAGAGAGAAACAGACTGTAACATAATTTATGCATTTAATTCGACACGACGACAAGACAACGCATGAACGAAGATGCGCTTCAGACGTTGTATCCGTCTGACCAAGACGGATAAAACGTCTCGGACGAATTTAATTCGTTTCATGTGATGCACTGTACCCGTCGCATTGACTTCGTTCCATTAAATTCGTCTGAACTAAATTTGGCGATAGTGCGACGTATGAAACAGGCCTAAGGAATCCTACACATAGCAAAACAGAAGTACTAGTCTAGGACCTGTATATGAGTTTGTATGCGATTCATTTAGGACAGGTAATCTCAACTGTTTTAGGGTAAAATGACCATGGCGGTCAACATGGCATATGTGCGAAAACCTGAATCCGGGACGAAAGTCCTGAAAATGACCCCGCCCTGAAACGGCAGTGTCGACATAGCTCTAACTTCCGAAAAGGAAAAGCGATAGCCTTTCTGAAGTGCTTATAGTGTTTAGAAGGGTTGCTTTTAGGGGTGGTCATTGGAAGGAAAAATTTGTCGAAGTATAATATTTTACCAGAAAATGACTATGCACCACCCCAGGTAAATTGCTGATTATGCACAAAATAACTAATATGCCTGACAGAAATTAAATATTCTTATTTCCTAAAAAAAAATATCATGGGGTGAAAAACTATGCTTAATTTAATATAAATATTGTTGATTTCATAAGGATTGTCATTGTTTTCTTTAAATATAATACATTTTATTTCACTTACCCCCCACGAAAACACGATTTCAGCCATATTCTGCCGTCTTGTTTGCTTTTTATTGCCGAATCTCGCAAATATCATCCAGTTATTGTACTTTTACATAATCATAAATGGCTGAAGAAGATTTCAAAGAAGGTTTCATCCACTTTTGTAACAGTGCAGTGTATTTTACCTTCGATATTGTGTCCTTCGATATTCCGCCAAATTGCCGCCATTTTAATGGCTCGCCGCTTCTCTGTCTGATAAATGCAACTTCTTCGTTTCCATATGTATTTAGATTACAGTATCCAAGAGTACTTCATTGTAGAATAGTCCCAATCCAAAAATTGGCAACATTTGTCCCATTAGGAAGGAAAAATCCTCCCGTATACCATTTAGGTTCAAAATAAAAAACAAATCATTTGAAAGTCACGCGCAATCTTCGCGAAAACTTCTCGTGGACACATGACAGGGGGGGTTGAATATTTTCACGAATATGTTCGCCACCACAGAAACATAACTAAATATATTGTATTTATTGTATTTTTATGATTTATGACAAAACTACGCAAATATTTATTGTTTTTATTATAAATCATAAAAATACAATAAATACAATATATTTAGTTATGTTTCTGTGGTGGCGAACATATTCGTGAAAATATTGATTCAGATCAGTTTGCATACAAGGAAGGTCACAATTCGATTATGGCTCTGATCAAGTGCCAACACACATGGTTAAGATGGTTAGAAGGAGATGCAAAATATGTCAGAGTATTATCTTTTGACTTTCGCAAAGCATTCGATAGCGTTCCACACGATATTTTATGTGAGAAGCTTAAGAAGCTCCCCATCAACCCATATGTTACTAATTGGCTGATTAGTTTTTTGGAGGATAGGAAACAGAGGGTAGTGGTTGATGGAATAGAAACTGAATACTTGAACATTAATCGAGGTGTTCCCCAAGGAACAGTTCTGGGTCCTGTCCTCTTTTCGATCATGGTGAATGACATCAAAACAGTTAACCCCATAAACCAGTTAGTTAAGTTCGCGGATGACATGACATTAGAAGTACCAGGGAATGAAAACGGAGATACATCCCAAGCCGAAGTGGACAGTATACAAACATGGTCTGAAAATAATCGAATGTCCTTAAATATGGAAAAGACGTATGAAATGATTGTTAGGAGAAATATCCCCACGCTGTTGCCTGATCCTTTCCCATTTATTAAACGAAGGACGTGGTTAAAGATTTTAGGAATTACATTACAGGATCTCCCTTCCAAGTGGGATTTGCATTTTGATGAAATGTTGAAAAAAGCCAGTGCAAGAATGTACATAATGCGTGTCTGTAAATACTATGGCTTCCCAATCAAACAACTGGACATGCTGTTTAACACTTTAATTATGCCTATAATCACTTACGGCATAGAACTTTGGGGAGGCGCATACTTCAATAAATACATTAGTCAAATAGACAAATTCATCAATCGCGCTCACAGAAATGGTTACATATCGGAAAAATTGAATATTAAGGAGATAAGCATCAAAAGGGACAAGAAACTTTGGGATAAAGTAATACATAATAAAGATAATGCACTACAGGAGCTTTTACCAGATAAATTAAATAGACACCTTAGGCCAAGGGGACGCGAGTTTGAACTTCCGTTAGTGAGAACAGAGCGATTTAAAAGTTCTTTTGTAAATCGATGTTTGTTTAACTTTGTTTAACCAATTTTAACCTTTACCTTTTTAACATTATTAATTTTTTTATCCATAACTGTATATATCTAGTTATTACCTTATAGATATCAATAATTTTATCTTATATATTTTTATAATGTAAACTCACAGACGGGTGTTCTTGAGTATGAATAAAGACTGTTATTATTATTATATTCAACCCCCCCTGTCATGTGTTCACGAGAAGTTTTCGCGAAGATTGCACGTGACTTTCAAATGATTTGTTTTTTATTTTGAACCTAAATGGTATACGGGAGGATTTTTCCTTCTTAATGGGACAAATGTTGCCAATTTTTGGATTGGGACTATTCTACAATGAAGTACTCTTGGATACTGTAATCTAAATACATATGGAAACGAAGAAGTTGCATTTATCAGACAGAGAAGCGGCGAGCCATTAAAATGGCGGCAATTTGGCGGAATATCGAAGAACACAATATCGAAGGTAAAATACACTGCAATGTTACAAAAGTGGATGAAACCTTCTTTGAAATCTTCTTCAGCCATTTATGATTATCTAAAAGTACAATAACTGGATGATATTTGCGAGATTCGGCGATAAAAAGCAAACAAGACGGCAAAATATGGCTGAAATCGTGTTTTCGTGGGGGGTAAGTGAAATAAAATGTATTATATTTAAAGAAAACAATGACAATCCTTATGAAATCAACAATATTTATATTAAATTAAGCATAGTTTTTCACCCCATGATAATTTTTTTTAGGAAATAAGAATATTTAATTTCTGCCAGGCATATTAGTTATTTTGTGCATAATCAGCAATTTACCTGGGGTGGTGCATAGTCATTTTCTGGTAAAATATTATACTTCGACAAATTTTTCCTTCCAATGACCACCCCTAAAAGCAACCCTTCTAAACACTATAAGCACTTCAGAAAGGCTATCGCTTTTCCCTTTCGGAAGTTAGAGCTATGTCGACACTGCCGTTTCAGGGCGGGGTCATTTTCAGGACTTTCGTCCCGGATTCAGGTTTTCGCACATATGCCATGTTGACCGTCATGGTCATTTTACCCTAAAACAGTTGAGATTACCTGTCCTAAATGAATCGCATAGTTACAAACTCATATACAGGTCCTAGACTATACAGTTATATCGATTCAATTCTGATTTTTTAAAGTATTTTATCAGTAGGGCTTTATAAGGGACCTATAAACAGGACAAAACAGATTGTATAAAATGCGTATTTTGTGGTGTTATTATATTTTGCTTGCTATATATTGCCAACGTTAGCTTAAGTTTTATTTTATTAGTCTTGTGATAATTAAAGTTTTGAACGAATCGAGTCCGATTGAGTGTTCAAAGACGGCGATAGTTCCTTAATATACAACATTTCGTATAAAAGACACTCATACTTTCCTTGGCATTTTCGTAGAATTGAAAAGCAACCTTCAATTATCGACGGATCCTCTTCGTGATCTTCCCTCATATGTTTCCCGATTACCGATCGCTTGTGCTCATCAATGCGCTGATGTAAGTGCCGACTAGTATAGCCAACATAATCTGCATCACACAGATCACATTTATATCTATACACAACGCGTTGTTGATTTACAATTGGTGGTTTCATCTCGTGAACTTTAACTTCTTTGATCTTTCTACTTTTAAATACTGGCTGTAATGCTCTACCAATCACCGTACCAAGGCCTGCGAGTTGTCCAAAACTCGATTCGTTCGATTCGATTCAAAACTCGAAAAAATTCGATTCAAAAGCCGGACTCGATTCATTAAAAACTTTATACTTAGTCCTATAATTAATGGGCTTCATGTTTGTTTGTTTGTTTTGTTTAGTATGTTTGTTTGTTGTTGTTTTTTGTGTACATGTTAGATATTTATGAAAGACAGAAATATGTTTAATCTGTTTTATGTTTTCTTTTAAATGTAATTTATGTAAATTATTACGTCATATAAATTTAAATTTTGCATGCTTACGCAATAATTTGCTAACATGACACGAACTGTTTAATTAAAATCAACGCAATATATGTAATACCATAACTTGAAAATGATGCACGCGGTAGCATCGAAACGTCGTTTAATAAATGTAATATCGCTGTCATTTGTTTCAAAATTATTAAATCATTTAATTATTTAATTATTTAATATGACAATTATAGATTATATGGGTGTGATTGCGTGCTCTTAAACAGTATTTGTGAATTGTAATATTTGGTACCAGACATGAAAATATTTGGTACCAGACTTTCAAAATTATTGTCCGCCACTGTTATAAACTGTCTCTGAATTTTAGGTTTCAGCGGACAACAAATAAAGGATGTTGTAAACATTGGTATTGGGGGATCCGATTTGGTAAAGTAGAATAATTACAATTTTTACTTCAGGCTCCAAGCTAGGAGCGTGGAGGGTAGAGCCTGCGTAGGAGGTTGTCTTTACTTCATGTCTAAACCTGGTGCCGGCAACACCGCGGTCAAACGTTCGCGCATATTGTTTTCTCCCTGCTTGATATTAGCGAATGTCGAGAACTTTTAGCATTCTTCTGAAAAACGGGAGCGGTCTTTTTTGATTTCAGGGAAATTCCCAGGGGTAAATGTTTATACAGCACACAGCATTATTAAAAATATTTATTTTGCACACAGCATTATTATTTTATATAATGCAGCGCCCACACAGCACTATTAAAAATAATACAGCGTCCACACAGCATTATTAAAAATAATGTAGCGTCCACACAGCATTATTTTCAACATGTCGCTTATATAATGGGCGGTGAAACGCGCTCAAATCGCGCTGATCGATGTGTGATGCGGAAAAAGACTGACACGAGCGTGCTTTTTCGAAAAATTTGACAAGGAGTGCATTTTTTAATGCTGATATATTTGAGCTGTTTTTTTCTTCTCAATAATCAAATTTTTAAGAACCTTTTACATAGTTCCGACAAATTACTTACTAGTTTATCGTTTGAATATTTGTTTGGCGTATGAAGTTGTATTATAAAGAAAATACTGTGAAGAATGACTTGTTCTTTGGATGACTTCAATGGAAGGGGAATTTCAATATAAGATTTGAGCATGTTATCAACTAGTCCCAGGCCTGGAATTCAGGTATGCCAAAGGTTATATTTATCTGATTATATCTTAACGTTTTTATTAAAATCAGAATTGTACTCTGGAAGATATAGCGATCGAAAGTTGCGTATTTTTACGGGTTAAATCTTGCCTCATTAGACCATGATTTCGCTGCCAGGAAGTAAACAAAAGTTGTAGTTTCGTTATGTTATGATTCTTAGTCATTAAATAAAAAAATTGTGCTTGTTTTAAAGCATTTCGTTGGAGTAACTGTAAGCTGTAAGCAAATTTTACGCTTTAGTCGATTTGTCAAAGTACGCCTTGGTTGAATGTATGCCGAGCGCAAGGGTTGATAAAATGTCGCTCCAGCCTTGAAATCTTGTGATCATTAAGTCAAGATAGCTACTCGTTAGGATTCGTTGAGAAAACGAAAATTCGAATTGTACTCTTCTTGATATTCACTTGCAAAAATCAGTTGCCTGTAACACATCAATGTAATTTTTATTCTATCGTATTTTCAACTATTTTAACGTCATGTCGCTTGCGAAAGCAAGTAAACAACGGTTCAATACTTCTTGTATTTTTTCTTATTAAAAGTCTGTCGACATTGAGTTAAACAAAAAAATTATAAAATGTGTGATACTTATTGTAAGAGAAGATTGGCCGAGCAACTTGCCTCTCTTTCTAAGAAAATAAAAGTTTCACAAGTCGATGAACAAGCGACTACTTCGTCCGAACAAAACGAAAATGTCTGTGTTGATATTTGGGACTTCTGTATAACGGGACTTCTGTATTGTATTTTGTGCCGGAACTGCCATAAATAAAACACTAGAATCTATTTTTTGTAAAAAGATCCCCATTCTTTCTGGCCTACTTTCAACATGACATTGCCTACCCAGTGCACGGATATGTACCAGACTTATTTCCATAGAGTATATTATACATGTACGTTGTAACAGTGGTAGACACTTTGTGAAATTTTGGGGGTGGGAATTAGGCAACCTCGTACACAGGGTATTTCCTCTTTGAGGAGAAAAGACCCTGGCTAGATGCTGCTCACATGATCTGCATGCTAGACTTGCCACAAGTCGACCTCGAACGAAACGCAAGCAGCGAGCGCGGCGAGTCTAATGATCTACTAAAATCTAGCAGATTTCTTTTTAACTAACTTGGATTCTTTTGCGACAATCATAGAAAATGCAAATTATAAATGAATTAAACTGTAAAAATCATCCAAATATTTAATTATTAATTAACCTCATCTAGGATTGCTAATCGCAATGCCCCAGCTTTATCTTTATTATCTTTATTATCACCCTTATAATTAATGTCTCCCCACAAATACCCAACCAGCATCTGATTGGGTATTTGATGTTGTAGAAATCACTCTCATCACAAGCAGCATGGTCTTCAGTACTTTTACCTTCCTCTTCAGGACTTTGAACAGTAATACAACCATTACTACTTGAAGACCAAAACTACTGAAAAACTTGCTGAAAAAGTTCTGAAGCTTGATTATATTCACTATTCTGACTTGCTTTATTAGTAAATAATCTCTCCCATGGCCATTTAATTGCACAGTGGTGAAAACTAGAACGTCTTTTTTCAGCAAATGCTATTTCTCTGCTTATTTCTGAGAGTGTTTTTCTGGTCCTGCCTGGCTAAAACAAACTTCAGACAAACACAAAATGTTCTGCATTTCTACGAGGGCAGACTTACTCTCATTGAATGCTGCTTCCACTGCCAAAAAAATTAAAATACAGTACTCATTTGAAGGCGGCTTGTACAGCTTCTAAAACCATTTGGAAAAACGATGTCAAACTCCTTGCTGTATAAATATTGGAAGAGATATTGCAATATTCAACACGATTAGAATGTGGGTCGGAAAGTGTAAGCTCGCTTTCAGCTTCTTTGTCTAGAAAAACTCTGTATTTGGCAATGATCGAATTTGCTGTCGCCATGTTTATTTTCCTAACTAACTTGTTACCAGTCTTCTGCATCACACATCGATCAGCGCGCCTATATCCGTTTCACCGCCTATTATATAAGCGCCCTGATTAGCAATAATGCCTCTTCGTCACCCTGACATGTACACGCGGTAACGTGAACATTTCAAGGCGAGAAAGTGACAGTGCTAAAGGCCCCTCACATACTCAGCCTGAAATTGATCAGGCATAAGTGACTATCATCGGGCGTGCGAAGTATATGGGGCGCCAAACCTGGCAAAATAAAAATGGTTCGTGATATAAAGTATATTAAAATTTACCCCTCTGATGTAAGATACGATACACGAGATAGCTCGTTATATAAAGTATAACTGTGTACACATCAATATATAAGATATAACCGTAGTGCCACAATATACAAAGTATATTATAACTGTCCGCAATCTAGGTTATAGAAATAGACTGGGGCGAGTTTTTAATTATTCATGTGCTTCCCATTTTAAAATTTATTTCCGGCTTTGAAATTTAATCAGGAAAATTAATCAGGAATAAATTAACGAATTCTGCCATTTTCTGCTTTATAACGCGAGAAATGTCGCGCGGGAAATCTAGTTAAAAATATGGCGACGAACCTGAAAAGAACATAAACACATTTAATGAGTATATTCCAAGTCTTATGTCTGAGGCTCATAGGCAAATGTTTAAAATTTGTGGTAATATTCAAGTTTTGAATATATTGTATGATCCGTGTCAAGGTGGATATATGACATTAAACTGCATAAAAACATTGGTATATTGGTCTCAAAATTGCAGAAATTGCCCAATGATTACGAACAACAGTGGATCGAAAATTATGATTCGTCGCACTTTACTTGCCATGTTGTAGACGGGCAAGAAAATCGTAAACTAGGAAGACAAAGATACGTTGTTCCTTGAGAGAAGCTTAACTTGTTTATTCCAAATACACGGCAAGTGGGATATCGATATTATCACAAAACATTTGCCTATGAGCCTCAGATATGAGACCTGGAGTATTCTCATGAGAAATGTATTGATGTTGTTTTCAGGTTCGACGCCATATTTTCTAGCTAGATTTCCCGCGCGACGTTTCCCGCGTTAAAGCAGAAAATGGCAGAAATCATCATTTCGTTAATTTATTCCTGATTAATTTTCCTGATTCAATTTCAAAGCCGGAAGTAAATTTTAAAATGAACTTGCCAAAATCTATTTCTATAACCTATATCGCGGACAGTTATATTATACTTTGTACATTGTGTCACTAGGGTTATATCTTATATATTGATGTGTACAGAAGTTATACTTTATATAACGAGCTATACTTTATATCACGAACCATTTTTATTTTGTCAGGTTTGGCGCCCCATACCGAAGCTCTGCCAAAAACGGTTACTCTTAGTTCTTTCAGTTCAATTTTACACAGCAATAGTTTTGTTTGCGCTTGTGAGATTTTATCCTAGACATATACGCATGTGCAGAACACATCATAAGTTTTATTCCCGTGTTTATCCAGCTTAATTAATTAAATTGAAATATGTTCTATCACGATGCATTTCAGTGCATATGTCCATATGCATGTCCTTACAAATGTAGAGCCAGTGCAACGTTGGATATATAGGTTCATTGTCATACAGTCCTGACAAGCAGCAACGTAATCTTCCAGCCGAAAATAATTACTTTTGATTCGGGTCAGTAGTTATAATAATAGAGGCATTATTGGATATATTGCAGCCAGCTTCGGCCTTCGGCCTCGCCTCAGCTGGCTGCAATATAACCAATAATGCCGTTGGCCTCAGTAATTATCTAATAAATAATATTGTGGAATTGTCCTGAAAGCGAACTAAACATTATACATACTTGTCGGTGTTTTTTTTTATCTATTTATATATTTTATTTCCTGCATGTTAAATTTCCAAATACTTCTTCTCCAAATACTTCCTCAATACTTCTTCTAAAACTTTGTCAATATGCTATAAAAGATGACGTAGTGTTGACTCTCCAAGTAAGTGTCCAGTCAGTGTCCTTCCTTGAATCAATTCCTTCACTGCAATCTGTTACGAAATGTTGCTACTACTATGCATGCTTGTCCTATCCGCTAAATGCAACATTATTTCATTGTTAGGGTCCTTACATGGTTACAGAGGCATTAATACCATACTCGAAAGGTGGTCCCAGTGTTCATTTTGTATCAAATATTGATGGCACACATTTGGCGAAAACTTTGGATAAATTGAATCCAGCTACAACTTTGTTTATTGTCGCATCGAAGGTATCATTTTAGTATTGTACTTTTTAAATTCAGAGCCGTGTTCGAACTGTCGGTCGTCGCAGACCGTTGCTATGCCTGTTGAGCTGTCGAGTCAACACGGATTGCTATATATATATAACCAGTCTTATCCAATTTAAGTATACCAAATATTTTCTTGACCTTAACGGTTATCTTGGAGGATGTGCCGGACGAACGAACCTCAAGCTCACCGAAGATACAAGTTCATCTTCCCCCTCGAAACAACAAATTTTTCGTTGTACGTTCCCTGCATGCAGTGTCAGTATCATAAATATGAAATTAGATTTTGGTGCACAGTTTTCAACTTTGCAGTATTGATTATATGGGCGGCAAAATTCATATAGATCATATAGGAACGGCATATATAGTATCCTAGATCCTTGCATGTGATATCTGCAGAGTTATAGTTTTTACTTTGTCAACAATTTGGCGAATATACCTTTACTATCTACACTAATATTGGAACTACCAAAATATTTCAACGATCGACCAAAAAGCTATAAAAATGCCACGATCAAATTAGACATGCCATCAAATATTTGCTGTAGAAAATAATATCAGGTCTATTTCACCTCGTTACAACCTCGTTCCCAGGCTCTTTCCTCTTGTGGAGGAAAACCCCTGGTCAGAGCTGGTCACGTGACCCATAAAAAATTGATAGCCTAAGAGGGGGATGGAAAAGTCTCATATTACATGTTTCCACTTCCGCACTTCACACTTCGTTTGCAAGGAGTGGCCGTTCTGTACAATCATCTTTGAGAATCATAATATATTTTTCAAAATACTAGCTAAATTGATTTATGTTTGCTTTTAAGTTATACAAACATGCTAAAATGCAGATTCTTATAGCAACAGATAAGTCAGGAAATCAAGCAACGAAAACGTATGACCGTATGCTTTGAAATATTTGCCCTTTTATTTTCTCGGGGTTCGGGCGCAGTTTCATTTCACGCGTATGTTTCTGTTCTGGCTCTGGTTCAGATATTTGTAATATTCTTATAATATGCCAATGAATTGTTGTCATATGGAAACGGTATAAATTTTGTTCAACTGAGGTCTCAAAAGCGACTGTGTAGGTCGTAGCGCCTTGCTAGTCTTATAGCGAACGTGACACATTTGGACACTAGCCAAATACACATTGAATTGAACGTCCATTCTATTGATTCTTAAACTGTTTATAGACATATTATGTATTGCTCTAGATTTTTTTTAAAAAGGTTATCGTCGTTTAGATTAAACACCATGCAGGTAGGAAGACAAAATATAACGTACAAAATTGTTTGGGATCGACAGTGCATGCACACATGCAGCATACGACAGTTCACAAATGTATGCATTTCCTTTTTGTCTGCACGAGTACCTGTTTGTTGAAGCCAAAATATTGCACAGCATCTCCTAAAAATTATATCGCCATTAGCCCTCGCCCCTTGAATGCAAAGGAATGATAGCCAAAAATGTTTAGCAAAGTATTTTTTATTGATCTGGTGTCCCTACGTTTTATCAGGGATATATATATATATATATATATATATATATATATATATATATATATATATATATATATATATATATATATATATATATATATATTTATATATATGAAAAAGTTTTGGTTGCCATGCCTGGATATATGTGCTGGGTGTTGGTAATGATTTCTTCAGGCAAAAGTAAGCTTAAAAACTTTAATAAGTTTGTCAGACGTTTCGCCGATTAGATTACTTAATTCTTACTTACTTAACTCTTATCTAATTTTTTTAATAGATTTTTAACTATGTCCATTTTAGCATGACCTATTATCCATAGCACATTACGCATGTAATTTATGTATGTTTTATTAATGATAATTAGGTGGACTTGTGTATACATAGGATAGAATATTATTATAGATTTATTGTGTCACTGATGAAGCCCTAACCGACGAAACGTCTGACAAACTTATTAAAGTTTTTAAGCTTACTTTTGCCTGAAGAAATCATTACCAACACCCAGCATATATATATATATATATATATATATATATATATATATATATATATATATATATATATATATATATATATATATATATATATATATATATTACAAAATGAGTTTTACTGTAATAAGCCTTTTATAGTTTCCATTGACAGATAGGTTGTTTGCCTCCAGTATCGTTTGGTGAAACTTCTAAAATGTCGATTACAGTGTACGATAAATATTAAACGGTTGATTTAAATATTGATAACTTACAGCGGCATTATACAAGTCGAAAGAAGCTGGATTTTTAAGCTGGATTCTTCAAATACAGCCCTCAATGGGCAATGCCAATGAAAAGTCTTTATTAGATTTATAATGTACCTGCTGCAAATTACTGTAGTACACGAAATATTAAATAATTTACTATAAAGTACAATACCAGAGTACCTATAGAAGTACAATACCAGAGTACCCAATACTATAAAGTACAATACCAGAGTGCTAATTAATTTCACTACTGTGGTTTCACTTACTCACATTATTAATCTAGTAATTCGCAAGGGAATTATTCCCGCTGACTGGAAGTGTGCCAGTGTATCAGCAATTTATAAACATGATTCAAAACTAGATTAGAATAATTATAGACCTATTTCAGTCCTTCCAGTAGTTTCAAAATTTTTTGAAAAAGTTGTCTTTGACCAAGCATATGCCTTTTTAAACAAAAACAACCTTTTATCTGTCATACAGTCAGGATTTAGACCTCTTCACTCAACGTTAACAGCTATGCTTGATGTCACTGATAAATGGTACACTAACATGGACAGTGGGTTAATAAATGCTGTCTTATTCATTGATTTAAAAAAGGCTTGTGATACCATTGATCATAACATTTTACTACAGAAGTTAACTTGTTACGGTTCCAACATAGAAACGATTGATCTTTTTAGAAACTATCTTTCTGATCGTACTCAAATAACAGTTATTAACAACGTACAATCTGATACTCGTAAAGTAACATGTGGAGTTCCTCAGGGGTCTATCTTAGGTCCACTACTGTTTTTAATATATATAAACGACCTACCTAATAGTGAATTGGTATCAGATGGGCGTTTATTCGCTGATGATACCAGCTTGACTTTTGCGGACAGCAACCCTGACAAGTTGATTTCTGTTCTAAATGACGACCTTAAAACTCTCCAAAACTGGCTTAACCTGAATAAACTAAGCCTGAATGCGATTAAAACTAAATGTATGTTTATGGCATCCAGGCAAAAATTAAGTACTATTCCTGAAGAACCTAATATTGCTATCTCCGGAAACAAAATTGAAAGAGTTAGATCTTACAAGTGTTTAGGTTTAAAACTGGACGAGAGTTTGACATGGGAGCATCATGTTTCTACTATCATCTCCAAAGTCTCCAAGTGATTGGAGTTCTACGAAGACTAAAACCATTGCTCCCACAGTCAACTCTTGTCATGATCTATAACTCTTTAGCACAGCCATACTTTGATTATTGTAGTATTGTCTGGGATAGCCTATAGGTAAGGGTCTTGGACAAAAGTTACAGCGATTACAGAATAGGGCTTCAAGAATTATTACTGAATCTGATTATAACATCCGGTCATCAGATATTTTAACATCATTGAATTGGACTAACCTTGAAACCAGACGTACCCAACAATTCAAAACTTTTATGTACAAAACTGTTAATAATATGGTTCCTAGTTACTTGTCTGGAAAATTTACTTCCACGTCAATGATACACGAACATAGTTTGCGTGGATCTAGTCATAAACGTTTTGTACCAAGACCCTCAACGGAATCCTTGAAGAAAAGTTTTTCCTATAAAGGAGCTACCCTATGGAATGACATACCCGTCGAACTCACTAGAGTTCAATCTCTCGCTGAGTTTAAATCTAAAATATCTTAATATTTCTTTTATATTAGTTTCTTTGCATGTGTAGTTTGTTACTTTTGTAAATAGTTTGATACCTTTTTATTAGTAATTAGTCTACTAGTATAGGTACACGTCTCCATTCATGAAGAGCACATAACATAACCTGTGAAATGGACCTCGTGTTTTAAATAAAGATGTCAATCAAAATCAATCAAATATCGTCCTAGATGTTCAAGTTGTACCGCACGCACGGAAGAGTCTTGGTGTTCGTGTGATAACAGATAGCTATACTTCGACATAATCTTTCTTAATCGTTGAGTTTCAGCAATGTAAATAAAAGGAATTTTATAGTCCATAACCGGTCTTAATCATGTGCTTTCACAGTCAAAACACAGCGATGTTTGGGAAATCAAAGGATCCCGTTATAAAATAAATCCTTTGTTTTGAATATCGGATAGGATACACTTCAACTATTAACAACCATATCGTTCGTTTAATACCACCGTTTGATCGAACAGTCGGTGTAGAAGATATTGATGTTTCTACGGCGATACGTGCTAAACTTCGCAAGCCTGCCAAGCCAGGCGCTTGTGGAGTGTTTTCCTTGCAAGTGAAATATGATCCAGCTTCTCGCTTGAAATGTAACGCAACACTTGTTATTGATGACATTCAGTACAGCAGGAAGTCTTGTCATGATCGGTACGAATTTAGAACAGTTCCTTTCACAATCTCTTGTTGCAAGTTACGTTTTTATCAGCCGAAATTATAACACATAAAGTTGCAATTTTCCAAACGCAACAAACAGACTACTCTACTACCCCTCCCTGAGATCAAATTCAATTTGGCCCCAAAATCTGAGGGTTCACGTGACCAGCTTCGACCAGGGATTTTCCTCCACAATAGGAACGAGCCTGGGAACGAGGTTGACCTCGATATAGCATATATGAATTAACCTTTTAATATATATAGTAAATTAACTTAGGGTACTATTTCCATATTTTATTTAGACTTTCACTACAATCGAGACTATTACAAATGCAATGTCTGCAAGGAAATGGTTGTTGGATGCTGCAGGAGATGTCAGTAAATAAAGTTATTTATTATATAAAGTGTAGTGCTTTATAGAGATTTCTAGCACTGATAAAAGTGATAATCTCACATGTGAGATTATCATAAATAATTATCGCTTTTCAATTATCGCTTTTCTGTAAAAATTATCGCTTTCCAAAGACTGTCCTTTATATAATAAACAGAAAAATACGTGGGTGCTTGGAAATACCAGATTTATTTCTCGTGAGATATTTATCACTCGTGAGATATCATGTTCAACACTCGAAATAAATCTGGTATTTCCGCGCACCCATGTATTATTCTCTAGATATTGCGATTTAATGCTAAAAAGTGCCCGCGTCAATGTGCCTGCATGCGTTCTCAATTTTATTTCTGAATATAATTTCAGTTCGTTCTAAGAGTTTAGCAAACCAGATTTTAATCGTGAAATATATAGTAACTTTTAAGCCCATAACTTACATAATATATATAAGCTTGGTATACAGCATGCACGTGCATGGATTCTGCATGTGTAGTATTCACTGCAACGCAATTGTTTATAGAGTCATCAGTCATGGAAGTTTGGTTGGACGCAGTTGTTATTTTCTTGATTTTTTTTTAATTTGAATGAAATTACTCGAATTTTGCATTTACTATTTAGTTGGTCTTTGGTGAGATGTTGGCAGTCATTATATAAAATACGGAATGGATATAGCTAATATTACATAGAAGAAGCGTTCTTGTTATACATATGAGAAAAGTAACAGTATTTTCGTGCTGCATGCTGTATTAAAACAAACAGATTAATTTGCCTTTTTGAGATACCTGGAATATTTTTACAATACTATAGTTTACATATAAGTGCATGAAAGTGAAAATATTGAAATCTTTTCACTTTGTATACAATTCCTTTTAGACATCAGCTGTGGCAAAACATTTTGTGGCCTTGTCAACAAATGTGGTATGTTACAAAACATTATTAGGCCAAGTAAATAAAAATATATGTTTCTCGTCCTCGCCCGCTTCCTTTTTCTTGGCCACTTCCCTTTTTTATTGCTGGTGTTTCTCTACAAATTTCGCTTCATGTTTTTGAACTTTCTTTTTGATAACTTGAAGCTAACTTGAAGTATTAATCTGGAACTACTGCGGGCTCATTCAAAATCCTATCCGCTGACCAATTTCCAATAAAATTAGAATTTATATGTTTGCTCTGTTGTCAGGACTACTTTCTAAGTCCTTTTAACTTTCAAATAGGATTTCATGTTAATTTTTGCGCTAAAAAAACTGCCTGAATTTTGATTGAATTTTCGCGCGAGAACATTTCGCCTCAGCTCACACACGTTGGTTAATAAAATGACTCATGGCGTTAAACCGCCCTACATTTAAGCGCTCTGATTCTGGCATCTTAATTAAATTTATAGCTTTAATGAACCTATTCCCTAATGAACAAAATTTTGATCTAGACAAGTCTAAACAAAAATTTCATAACAGCTTGAAAGAGCATCACAAAATTAGTAATATTCCGACGTTTTGTTGCGAAATGTTGTAAAATGCGGATAATATAGCCCTGCGAAGTTTGCCGTTTTTCAGTCATTTTGTATTACGCGCGGGAAATTGATACCATTGTTCAGAAAGCGGTATCAATTTCCCGTGCGTAATACAAAATGACTGAAAAACGGCAAACTTCGATTCGCAGGCTATATTATCCGCATTTTACAACATTTCGCAACCAAACGTCGGAATATTACTAATTTTGTGATGCTGATGCATTCAAGCTGTGATGAAATTTTGTCTAGACTTGTCTAGATCAAAATTTTGTTCATTCGGGAATAGGTCCATTTAAGCCGGACGGACAAATTCCCTAAGCCTACAGACGAGAAAGTTTTCTTTAACAGGTTTTCGTGCCCAATTTTGTACTATGACAAGTACACTTTGCGACATTATACAGTATATTCAAGGCCGGATTTTGGTGTAAATGATGGGGCAAGTGGAAAAACATTTAGAGGAGGTGCCGTTGTCTAATATAGCCTGTGAACAGACGTTACTCTCGACGAAGTGCGCGAGAGAACGTCTGTTAGTTGGACGAAGATTCCTTGTTCTGCATGGTTACGTGGATTTTCCACAGATTTGTGGAAAGGCCTCTGATTGGACAGTGCTTTATTTGAATAATATATGACAAATGAAGATATTTCGGGGCATACAAAAGTTTGAAAGATTTGAAATATAATCTGAAAAACGATACACCAGAAATATATTGTATACAGCTATTTCAATTAAGGTTGTCCACGAGCAAAGCGGAAAAGTCGAATACGAGCGCGAAAGGATGCTGGGAATCGCTTTGAAAATTCATTAATTTGTTAGCGACTTTTCCGCTTTGCTCGTGGACAACCTTAATTGAAATAGCTGTATATTTCTCGATGAAGAGATTTGTTTTGAATGCGAACAATGCTGAACGATGATGAAAGCCGGCAAGTCCGGTGCACATGCTCAGTTCTTGGCGCACATATGGCGTATATAGTTGTTTACAAAGACAAAGTATTAAATATAAACACAACTGGTTATTCAAAAGGTGAATTTTAAAGTATGATTAAAAGTTAATTGGCCAGGTATAAGACGAAGTTAAACATATTAAAGGAAACCTTTTGTCGCGGGTCTGGACATATAAACAGATTGTCAATTTAATTGTCAATTATAAATTGTCAATTTCCGTCCGATAGTTTTTTTGTTGCTGTGTGTCCAAACGCTAGAATTTTATCTTGATTTTCTTAATTTCGATACAGTACAAAATTAAACGCAACAGATCCTTTTATGCCCCGAAGGAAATCTTCATTCTTGAGCAAATCTCTGAATTTAAAATTTTTGTGTTGTTATTTTAAACGCATGCTAATTATCAATTAACCAATGAAATATCTTTATTTGTCATATATTATTCAAATCAAGCACTGTCCAATCAGAGGCCTTTCCACAAATCTGTGGAAAATCCACGTGACCATGCAGAACAATAAATCTTCATCCAATTCACAGACCATAGTCTAAACTGACAGCCACCATGAAATATTCGCCCCCCCCCCCCCTCTTAATCAACTAGGTGACGTATGCATGCACATTTTAATATCACTGTAGGCTAATCCACTTTTGCCCTTCATTACATTGATCCAAAACTTATTCGGAAACATTGCATTAAAAGGGTATCTGCATGACGCTGAGATATGAATGGCCATCACTGTTTCAATTATACATAAAAAAGTCTTACAAAGTGTAGACCCCAAGTAACACACTTTGATCCATCATTTAACCTTTCCCAAGGAGAGGCGCATGCCTTTTCAGGGCGGTGCAAAACGATCTCATAGGAGATTAAAAAAGATGGCTATGTTAATGTTTAATAAATTTCTTACTTATCCAGGAAAAAGTGAAAAGTTTTGGAATTAAAGCAGAAAATATGTTCACTTTTTGGGATGTAAGTGAGTCCTGTTAAGTTATAACGGTCTTATTTAGCAAGCCATTCACGGTGAAAGTAGACTGCAATGATTTGTGGCAATGGATTAGCATTCACTTTAAATATGCAAGTATTTGTGTAATTTTACACCAAGATTGTATGAAATAGTAAGAATTTTGGGCATCTCAGTCGATATAACTAATTGTTGAAGGGATTTGTAAATGGAAATTGAGAGTGGAATTTTTCTATATTTATTAGACCTATAACCAGAGCCCACCAAATAACAAAAAAATTATTAGCTAACTTTTTACTTTTATTAAGTTTGACTTTGAAGTTATTTGCTGGGCTCTGCTCTTTATCTTTCAACTAAGATTTCCGCCTGGTGTACCAGGAGAAAAATGCACCTATAAGCAGGAATTGAACTTGCGGATATTACAAATGTTTGTTAAATTGTTCTACAAGTTTTATTCTCCACGATTTCTTGATAAGCAACGTTGTGATCTGCCTCAACACTTCTATATCGTTCACCCGTCGCCTTCACAGAATACACGTAGCTATAGGTGGGCAAGAGAAAAATGCTTGGTCGCGCTACCTGTCACATTTGGTCCACACTTGCCTAAGCAAAGTAACCTCATAGATTTTGCAAGCTCATTATATAATTTCTCCAGAGTGTTAGCTGAACAAAGTGACGTCATAGATTTTGCAAGCTCATTATAAAATCCGCCAGAGTGTTAGCTAAACAAAGTGACGTCATAGATTTTGCAAGCTCATTATAAATTCCGCCATATGGAGGTCTATTACTACTCATATGAGTGATTACAAAATCACCCGACCGCGTAGCGGGAGGTTGATTTGTTAATCATGAGTATGATTATGGTATTAATAGCACTTAATTCGTTCTATTACTTATTAATTATTTATCTTCTGTAATCAAACTGTTTAAGGGGAAAAAGCGCAAAAATACAATTCATTGAAATTCAATATAATTATTATTTTATAATTATTAATTTTTGTTACGACAATTCTTAGTGACATAATTTTGAATTAAATTTATCATAATCAAATTAACATATTATTAACTTCCGGGTATTATTTCCGGTATAATCACATGACAACATTGTTTGAATTTAATTATTCGGCAGTCAACACATAATTGGGAAGCCATGTATTGCATGTTTATAACGTGTTCAAAATAGTGAAGTTCTTAATTAGTTCAGTTTAATCTGAATCTGAGTCAAATATAACCGCTGGTTGTGTCTGGTTCGGTGTCTAAATCTGCTGGAAGAACAGGTAGGTCATTTTCGTCAGAAAATATATAATTTAAAAAGTCAAAATTTTCAAAATTTGTGAATTCCTCCATTTTGAGAATTTTTACAGCAATAAAGAAAATAAAATTCAAAGTTTGTATCCTGAATGTTGATTGTCAAGTTGTAAATACTAGACTGATTGTCATTGGCTGTAGACAAGGGTGCGATTACAGCTCAGAAAAGGTGCGATTAACGCTCAAATCGCACTCCTGTAAACCAATGAAATTGCAGTATTTGCCCCTGATTACAGAAGATAAATAATTAATACTTTAACAGTATATATTTCTCAGCAGTATAAGATGTCTGAGTATGCCAGAGCAAATAATAACTTCTTATTAACCGAACGCGAGGTCTGTACAGAGAAATATCGAACTGAGGTCTTTTTTGTGCAGTCCGAGCCCATAGGGGCGAGGTAGCAGTATAACATGTCTGAGTATGCCAGAGCAAATAATAACTTCTTATTAACTGAACGCGAGGTATGTACAGATAAATATCAAACCGAGGTCTTTTTTGTGCAGGAGGCGAGGTTTGTACAAATAAATCGGATCCGATATTTCTCTGTACATATCGAGCGAGCGAGGTTAATAAAAAAATATAATATAGCATTTATAGGCATTTATACTTGAAACAAACCAGGAGATGCTGCATGATTTGAAATGTATATTGGCCATTCATTGGTCATTGTTTACACACCTGATACCTACGCTGTCAATTCCCACAAACTATAAGATAACCATAAGTATATGGCAGCATCTGTTATAGAGATTATATTGCCATTGCCAATGATTTTCAACCATTCCAAACATTGCCATTGACTATAAACTGCCATGCAGGACACTATACTGCTTGGTTAAAATTTAGCACTTTGCTTTGGAAACATTAAGTGAGAGCATTTGCTGCCTCGCTGATTGTGAAATTGGGTGATTGGGTCACACTTCTAAACATCTAAGCACTTATCAAATACCTTTCAAAACCACAAGTACATAAATATCAAATACCACCTCTAGAATGTTGTTGCCATAGTTTTGCCGCTGATCTCTATATAATATGTGTACAGCCATAAAATCAACAACGCGAGTTGATATCGACAGGAAGGTTGTGTTGCCCATTATGAACAAGTTGTCAACAATGTTGTTGCAAGTTTTGTTGACAACTTGTTCATTGTCAGTGCTGCCCACAGGTGCTGCCTGTCAATATCAACCCGGAACAAGTTGCTGATTTTCTCAATTTTTACGTGTGTACCACTGTGCTTTTTATCGCAGACTCAGAAACCATCACATTTTAAAGATTATCTTGAGTCTGACTTTATTTTTTTATATTATTATATATTCAAAATATCATGTAGGATGTAGACGTAGTAGGTAAGGACTGTCCAATATGTCCAAAGTATAAATATATTATGGCAAATTATATATTAGAATCATGTACTGTGTTTGACGACACGTCTCTTTTGAATTTTATGCTTTCAGAATCAGTTAAGTTTATACATTGTAGTATATTGCTATTTGCTACTTGATTTATTTTGAGGAAGGTTTGAAAACTTTAAATTTTACCCGGAGGAAATTTGAACAAGTTTTGCAACTCTGCCGACGGGACGGGACGGGACGTTTTCATCCCGCCTAGACGGGAAACTCGCCTAGTGTTTGTAGTATATTCAAATTATTCTGTAATATTCTATAGGCTATAGTTATGTAAATTAATCATTGTGTATTTAAGTAAACGAGTAATAGATTAAAGCACACTTTTTAACTCGATATATTACATGGTGTCAGGTAGACTTGAATAACGTTCAAAATGAATGAAATAAGAGGACCCGGTGAAATGGATTTCACCAGCCCACAAAATCTAGCAGAGACGCTGGAGACGTAGCATGGAGTATTACTTGATAGCGACATGCACCGCAAAAACCGAGCCACAGAAAGTCGCAATTTTCATGTGTATGATTGGTAAAGACGGGCAGGAAATTAAAGATACGTCGAATTTGAAACTCGTGAAAATGGACAACAAGTGATCACCACAGCAATCCTTTTCGACAAATTCGAAGCACATTGTAAACCCAAGAAGAATCTCGTTGTTGAACGGCATCGTACACACAGATTCGCGGGAACGAACGTACAGTCGAAGCAACCCGAAAATACGGAACATAAACAGCAGTCAAGAAGCCCAGAACACCAGCAAGCAAGCAATGATGGTGCAGAGGGTTATCGTACACGTTCGGGACGATTGGTTAAACAACCAAATAGGTATTAATAGAGACATTTTAAAACAATGTAGGAAAATATGGAACACTATGTAGGAACACTATGACGATTAAGAACACTATGATTTAGGGAATTTATTACGTTTGCAGAATATTCAAATAAGAAAAAAGGGGAAAAAAATGTTAGTTTTTTTTTTGAAGGGGGGTAGTAATATATTGAAATTATTCTGTAATATTCTATAGGCTATAGTTATGTAAATTAATCATTGTGTATTTAAGTAAACAAGTAATAGATTAAAGCACACTTTTTATCTCGATATATTACAGTGTTTATATGGACAAAATATATTACTCGGATGAAGCCATTTAAGTGCCTGATGTCATATTTTTGTTGCAATAAAGGCATTTACGCATACTCAAAAGGGAAAAGTTAAGTTCATCCCGCCTAGCCGGGAGGAAGCGTTTATATGGGAATTTTTCATCTCGGTTAGGCAGGATCCCGGCATCTGTTGCCGAGATCCCTTCTAGGCGGGATAAGTGACGGGATCATATAAACACTCTTTAGAATTTGCATTACGAGCGAGATCTCGGTGAGCATCCCGTCCCGCCTGGCCGGGATCATATAAACAGGCCCTGAAAGTGCTTCTCAGCCAAGCACAGTTCGCCATTTTACCGGAAGTCATGCTTGCCATATAATAAGTATAAATTAATTACAACTTCTCTATAGAAAGGGTGGATTACCACCAGACACAAAACAAAAGATCAGTGTCGTGGAGCAAAGGAGAAAACTCGAGCATGCTATACGAAGTATTTATTATAAGGGACTGGTCATAAAGTAACTGCTAGGGTGGGCTGGAGGTAAATCACAAATTTTGCCAATAAGTTCGGTGACCCATCTTAGGATGTAGATAAAAATTTCAAAGCCCATCTAATCTTACAAAACATTTTTCATGACCCACCCAATCTAAATTGGGAAAATACACTTTTATAATAAAAAAAACTTGCAGGTATGAACATTTTAATTATACACGGCACTGTATTGACATACATAATTCCACCAAGCTTGACCAACACATTGATACTGAACTGCTCTCCAGTTGGTTGTATTTGCTGTGATTCGACCACTTTTTGTTGTTGCATAAACAAAGTACTGGCTTCAATAGCATCATTTGCATTTGATAACTTGGATAGTTTTGTTTACTTTTATTATTAATATCTTTATTTTTTGAAGTAGACTTGCATGGGTTTTTGTTTGGTGGCCCAACCGTGAACATACAAAAAAATTGGTGGCCCATCGAAACTGCCCAAAGATTTTCCATGGCCCATCCCAAATCACTCCAGCCCACCCTAGCAGTTACTTTATGACTGGTCCCTAATGGAAGTGCGTAGCACGAGCAGCATTATGAATATTTCACCATTTGGCCCCCTCGCATTATTATAAATACTTCCCCAGTTCCAAACACATATGTGATTTTTCATCAATACTTCGATAAATATATAGAAAAATAAGCTAATTAAAAGTAGGTTTACACTTCCCCAATTTTTGCAACATGCATCTTGCACGATTCGTATTTTGTGGCATATACTGATTTATATAAAGTCAAGTATAAAACATAAAGAGGTTACATTTCTAATTTTGGCAATGGGGAATCATGTTGTCAGTAGTAATTTTCTTTCGCCGGGATACGAATCGTGGACAACAAATTGCAACTTGTTTAATTGTGGATATGTCCTCAATCTGACAGGCAGTATGAGCTCATGTGACATTTTGATTGTGCCACTCTTTCAAACTCCCTTACTGGCGTGATACTGTATTTGTTCCGGCTTTGGCTTGTATTTTGTGTGGACACATTTGCGTAAATAGTAATTCATGTTTTTTCAATTATTCTAGTGGGTTGGTGGTCGTTATTCGTTATGGTCAGCCATTGGTCTGTCAATTGCTATTAATATTGGTATGATACATCCTATTACTTAAATCATAGTCAATCAAGATATTATATTTAATCTTAAAAAATATATATATATATATATATATATATATATATATATATATATATATATATATATATACGAACGAGCGCAATATTGTTTTTAACACGAGAACATAACAGCCATATCTTCAAGCCACCGCGCGGGCGTTGTGAAAACCCGGAATGCCGGAATATCACGTTATATGGCGGAATATCACGGAATATTGCGGAATATCACGGAATATGGAGGAATATCACGTAATATCACGACGTTTTCCCGGAATATACCGGAACATCAAGATATTTTCCAATGGTAGCCATGCGACTGTTTATAAACATGCATGGACCTCTGACAACATATTTTATTACAAAAGTGATGGATCTTGCTCATTTTGACGGTAAGTCAAAGGGCAGAGTTTCAGTTGTTGAAAAACCAACATACAATTCAATATTCGCCTAAAGCTGTCGAATATTCAAATTTGGACAATCAAAACGCCTCCGGATTGCAAAAACGTCATGAGGAAAACAATAACATAATAGGATCGAATCTAAATGATGACATTGTAATGAGTCGTAATGATGCATTACAATCTCTGGCAAATTTGCGTTCTGAGTGCCTTTCCAATGTTTGTTATGATACTCAATTAAAGCGTCTTGAAAGGGAACTGCATGATGAACAAGATAAAACCAAGCAACTTGAATCTGAGCTAACGGTTGCCGAAACAAAAATCTTACAACTCGAACAGGTACTAAACCTACACGAGTTAGAACAAAAGAGTAAAGAAACTGACAATGGGCTTTGTCACGATCATTCCTGCATTATTTTGGAGACACTCAGCACTAATTGCATTAGAAATCAACACGCGCCTCCGACTCAAGAGAATACCTGTACTAATAAATATATTACATCTCAAGAATTACCACCTAACCCTCGAATACCACCAAAACAAGTTGATAAGCAGGAGCCTCAAAAACATGCTGGTCAAGTAAGTCAATTCCCAAAACATACGGAAATTTCGGACATAACTAACTGTTATGCCATCCCGACTCGCGTTACCCATAGAACACCATCAAAGAAATCGACGTGGCGACGAAATAAACATGGCGCTAGAATCAACCAGACTGGGGAGGGTTTTCGCAAGGACAAATGGAAAGCCAATATGAGGTTTTTCCAGTATTATTACTAGAACATGATTTTTCCCTATCAGGTCGCCCTACTTCAATTCATCGCGGACAACGTAATTTAAATAATATTATTCAAATTAACATTAATAAAACTGTTATTTCCAATGCTAATGACTATTTCTACGTTCCGAAACTATTATTGACAAATACGATGTCATTAGCTCCCAAAATTGATGAAGTGAGTTGTTTTGTCACAGAAAAGAGTCCTGACCTTGCCTGTATAACGGAAACATGGCTAAATGACCGTATCTCAGATTCCTGCCTCGATATTCCAGGTTACAATTTTGTTCATAAAACCCGCAGTGTGGGCTCCCACGGAGGGGTTGGGGTGTACATCAGGAACACGATATTTTATAAGCCTCTGAATCATCTCCACCATATAGATTACGAAGTTCTGTGGGTCTATGTTCGTCCAAGTAGACTTCCCCGCGGGTTTTCCTGCTTGATACTTGGTGTCGTTTACCATCCACCTAATGCTAATGATGATGAAATGCTCCAATTTCTCTCCACATCACTGATTACTATTGAAAGCACTTATCCTGGCTGTGGGTTTATTCTTACAGTCGACTTTAATCGGTTAAAATGCAATCGGATATTAACACAGTTCAGTTGCAAACAGATTGTTAACGTTTCCACAAGGGCCAACCAGACTTTGGATCTAATAATAACCAACTTACATTCGTTTTATGATAAGAACTCTGTCGAAAAATTTCCGCCATTTGGTCTTTCAGATCATAATGTTGTGATTGTCAATCCTTGCAAAAGAGAACCCAAGTCATGCAGTAGAAGAATTATCTCT